TGTCCATCTTGTCTTTCGTCTGAGCGTGGAGTATAGGCCAGAACCTCTCATCCCTCCTCGCTGCACCACTCTCACTAGACTGTGATCGTCAATTTTCTGTTTCGAATAGTACACGAGCTCCCTTAGGACCTTGGCCCCGTCTGCCTTATCATGCATCATTATTCCGCGAAATTGTGCAGAACCAGCCAGTCTGTCCGCTGATTCATTTCCCAACATATCAACATATTACGGGGAAAAGATCCAGACCAATGTATTTAGATTGGCATGTATAAAAGAAGGTTCGTATTAGAAGGTATTTATGTCAGAATGGGAGGTCTTGCAAACCAGCATCTACCTACCACGTATCAAGGCTCAAACCAGCATCTACCTACCACGTATCAAGTCTCAAACCAGCATCTACCTACCACGTATCAAGGCTCAAACCAGCATCTACCTACCACGTATCAAGGCTCAAACCAGCATCTACCTACCACGTATCAAGGCTCAAACCAGCATCTTGGTACCACGTATCAAGGCTCAAACCAGCATCTACCTACCACGTATCAAGGCTCAAACCAGCATCTTGGTACCACGTATCAAGGCTCAAACCAGCATCTACCTACCACGTATCAAGGCTCAAACCAGCATCTACCTACCACGTATCAAGGCTCAAACCAGCATCTACCTACCACGTATCAAGTCTCAAACCAGCATCTTGGTACCACGTATCAAGGCTCAAACCAGCATCTACCTACCACGTATCAAGGCTCAAACCAGCATCTACCTACCACGTATCAAGGCTCAAACCAGCATCTACCTACCACGTATCAAGGCTCAAACCAGCATCTACCTACCACGTATCAAGGCTCAAACCAGCATCTACCTACCACGTATCAAGGCTCAAATCAGCATCTACCTACCACGTATCAAGTCTCAAACCAGCATCTACCTACCACGTATCAAGGCTCAAACCAGCATCTACCTACCACGTATCAAGGCTCAAACCAGCATCTACCTACCACGTATCAAGGCTCAAACCAGCATCTTGGTACCACGTATCAAGGCTCAAACCAGCATCTACCTACCACGTATCAAGGCTCAAACCAGCATCTTGGTACCACGTATCAAGGCTCAAACCAGCATCTACCTACCACGTATCAAGGCTCAAACCAGCATTTACCTACCACGTATCAAGGCTCAAACCAGCATCTACCTACCACGTATCAAGGCTCAAACCAGCATCTTGGTACCACGCATCAAGGCTCAAACCAGCATCTACCTACCACGTATCAAGGCTCAAACCAGCATCTACCTACCACGTATCAAGGCTCAAACCAGCATCTACCTACCACGTATCAAGGCTCAAACCAGCATCTACCTACCACGTATCAAGGCTCAAACCAGCATCTTGGTACCACGTATCAAGGCTCAAACCAGCATCTACCTACCACGTATCAAGGCTCAAACCAGCATCTACCTACCACGCATCAAGGCTCAAACCAGCATCTACCTACCACGTATCAAGGCTCAAACCAGCATCTACCTACCACGCATCAAGTCTCAAACCAGCATCTACCTACCACGCATCAAGGCTCAAACCAGCATCTACCTACCACGTATCAAGGCTCAAACCAGCATCTTGGTACCACGTATCAAGGCTCAAACCAGCATCTACCTACCACGTATCAAGTCTCAAACCAGCATCTACCTACCACGTATCAAGTCTCAAACCAGCATCTACCTACCACGTATCAAGTCTCAAACCAGCATCTACCTACCACGTATCAAGGCTCAAACCAGCATCTACCTACCACGTATCAAGGCTCAAACCAGCATCTACCTACCACGTATCAAGGCTCAAACCAGCATCTACCTACCACGTATCAAGGCTCAAACCAGCATCTACCTACCACGTATCAAGTCTCAAACCAGCATCTACCTACCACGTATCAAGTCTCAAACCAGCATCTACCTACCACGTATCAAGTCTCAAACCAGCATCTACCTACCACGTATCAAGTCTCAAACCAGCATCTACCTACCACGTATCAAGGCTCAAACCAGCATCTACCTACCACGTATCAAGGCTCAAACCAGCATCTACCTACCACGTATCAAGGCTCAAACCAGCATCTACCTACCACGTATCAAGGCTCAAACCAGCATCTACCTACCACGTATCAAGGCTCAAACCAGCATCTACCTACCACGCATCAAGGCTCAAACCAGCATCTACCTACCACGTATCAAGGCTCAAACCAGCATCTACCTACCACGTATCAAGTCTCAAACCAGCATCTACCTACCACGTATCAAGGCTCAAACCAGCATCTACCTACCACGTATCAAGGCTCAAACCAGCATCTACCTACCACGTATCAAGGCTCAAACCAGCATCTACCTACCACGTATCAAGGCTCAAACCAGCATCTTTGTACCACGAATCAAGGCTCAAATCAGCTTCTGTCTACCACGTATCAAGGTTCAAACCAGAGGCCTGACGCCGAAATACTGAGCATGACTAGAAAAGAAGAAGCCAATGATAATACTTAGTGTCTGTTTATGTGTTCAAGTCAATGTACTAGAAACAAAGCAAAGAGGGTATCTAATCTCGTAATGGAGGAAAAAAAGAGATAACTATAAAGGATAACATGGAAATCTACTCCTTGAAATCTCCTCGACTCCGTACCTACAAGAGCTCTAACACTGTCACGTGGCGAGTGGGAGCCAAAACCCAACCATAAGCTGCCTCAGTAACAAGAAAAAAAAAGAGAAAAAGTTCGTTTAGGTGGGAGTAAGATCAAAATTATCTCACCCTGACAGGAAATCTTTTGTGTAAGATCTAGATTAGCCAAGGAACAAATAAACTAAACTAGGCACACTAACTACAAGTCTTAAGCTGAACGGAAAACAACTGGAACTATGATTACTGCATTGAACATCTGTTTATTTTACTTAACATAACATCAGCGTGGTCCACAAATAACGACATTAACAACAACCAACGTGCTCGACCAGAGTCTAAAGCGATCATCATCTCCAGCTAACAATGAAATGGGATGACACCATACGCTCAGCGAGATGACCTCAACCATGGCAAAAACCGAAATATATTTAACATGTGCGTTAAGCTTCAATATGCCACCAGACTGACAAATTACTTATAGCGACCTGCCATCAAACTATCTCCTAAGAAAAGATGCACAATGGAAAAAAATCTAACATTACCTAATCAATTGAAACGTACCGTGATCACGAGCCAGTCTAGCGTCGCCGGTCCGATCTGACACACCTGTGCGTTGAGACCAAGTGAAGTCAACAATAGCAAACAGGGCGCCAGACTATACCGAGCCAACAGCCAAATAGAAGAAAGTCAGTTATCAGTAAGTCGGCCGTTTTATACCCAGTGGACCAGATTTTTTTCCCATCTTACTGTCTAAGACTAAAATTATGTGGCGTCTTAGTCATTTTTAAACCAGACTAAATCAGGATCTTCAAGCTGCTGAACAGAAGTGTTTTGTCGTTCTCCAGGCTGTTACATCAAGATGCCTCGACTTTCCAGTTTCTAAACAGTCTAGTTCCTAGAGATATGTTTAATTTCTCAACAGTCTAGTTCAGAGAGATATCTTCAGTTTCTCAACGGTCTAGTCCAGAGACAACATATCCAGTTTCTTAACGGTCTAGTGTCAAAGACACATGCCCAGTGTCTCAACGGTCTAGTGTCAGAGACACATGTCAAGTTTCTCAACGGTCTAGTGTCAGAGACAACATATCTAGTTTCTCAACGGTCTAGTGTCAGAGACAACATGCCCAGTGTCTCAACGGTCTAGTCTCAGAGACAACATGTCCAGTTTCTTAACGGTCTACTGTCAGAGACAACATGCCCAGTGTCTCAACGGTCTAGTGTCAGAGACAACATGTCCAGTTTCTTACGGTCTAGTATCAGAGACACATGCCCAGTGTCTCAACGGTCTAGTGTCAGAGACACATGTCCAGTTTCTCAACGGTCTAGTGTCAGAGACACATGTGCAGTTTCTCAACGGTCTAGTGTCAGAGAGACATATCTAGTTTCTCAACGGTCTAGTCTCAGAGACATGTCCAGAACTTAAATACAAGCATAGGCAAGTTAGGAAAGCAATATGCCTGTAAACACAGGGTGTGGGTTAGTTTAGAATATCACTGCTATATACTGGTGATTGGGAAATCGATCTGTGTGATAGAGATGTTAACAACCGAGGAGATAGTATTTTTGGTGGTTGCTCGACAGTTTATGATGTCATTTTCTTTTACTCAAGTTGAAAAAAAAAGTTAAAGTCGAAAGGATTAACTTTATTACACCGGGTGTTATTTAGCACAAAGCACGAACTCTGTAGCTTCGGCGACGATCCCCAGAGATATCTGTAGAAATTGCAGTCGTAAATTGAAGGGCCCATTCGTGAAACGAACCCACGACCTTCAGAGCGCGATGCAAACGGTTTGACCACTTGGCCACGATGACCCCTCAAGTATCTCATTCTAACACTCCTAATAATTGAACCAGTAAAATGGACTGTGAACAGAGCTGTAATTTGGAAAACAGTATCAAAATGAGATACACTACAGCAGCATATGTTACATGAACTCCACAGACGGTGATTACAACAAAGGAACAGCAATGTTTTCAAAAAATACACCCTGTGTGATAAGTGTTTCGTCATCATGGTTATCATCCTGTTATATCATTATATGTCACATGGGGTTGATAGTATATTCCTAAGTTCCATTCTGTCATGTGCAGTCCATTGGATATCATGGATACAGTCCATTCTGTCATGTGCAGTCCATTGGATATCATGGATGCAGTGCATTATGTCATGCCATCTCTTCTTCTCTAGATAAGCCTAGTGTAGCACCATGTTCTTTGTCTTGTAACAGTTGATACCAGTGGTTATAAACGGGGAGTTGTTATACACATGTGTAAATGACAGATTAAAGCTTATATTTTCGTTTCAGCGCATTTGCCTTAACGTATCCTAGCAACTATGTACACTCCAGCTCTGACATTCGTTGTGTTGCTGTGGACAAAAGAACTCTTTGTTGCCGGAAACACTTTAATCAACACATACGTGGCAGAGAACGGGCAGTCATACTACAGAACACCCCTGTACTGCTCCTACACGTGAGATATCCACATTCGTTTTATTTCATGCAAACCTTTCACCATCATCGTACAAACTGGTTTCCATATATGATATCGAAACAATAGATAGGATAGAACGGAATGGATGAATCGACTTGGTACGAGGTTCATTGCAGCCTTCATCATCTCTGTGACTGACTTTCTCTTACCTGTTGATAACCCCAAGTGTTTGCAAGTCTGCCTGGATGTTATCTCTCCAACCTGCTTTTACTCTGCCTTTTAAGCCCTCGTGAGGCCAGTAACTAATAGTAATCTATACATGCAACCATAAGTCCCCAACGTATAGAGACCCATTACCCTCTGGCTGGCAGACAATCCTGCTAGCAAGTCCACAGAACACACAGCAAGTCCACAGTAGACTGCCAGAACACACAGCAAGTCCACAGTAGACTGCCAGAACTTGTACCCCACCAGGACATCACACGAGCGATAAACACCCAGTGACACAAAGCGCCACCATGCGGATGAGGATCACCAGTGAAGAGGTCCCAGAAACCCCTTTCAGCCGTTATGGCCACATTTGTGACCCAGCTATATTCATGACCCCTGACAAAAGCCAGGATGGGGTTTCAAATAACGACAAATTGCATTCAACAAGGGGATGACTTATATTAGATTATGCATTGCATACCTCATCACATTTCAGTGACCCTAGATGGGAGAGTGTACTGTAATCGTGAACAGAGTTGCTGCAACCCGGATACTGACTGACTTTCTACCCCACCAGGACATCACACAAGCGATAAACACCGGATGACACAAAGTGCCACCATGCGGATGAGGATCACCGTGGAGAGGTCCCAGAAACCGAGTTCAGACAATTGGCCATATTGATGGCCTGCCTATATTGCGGCCCCTGGCAAAAGCCAGAGTATGGCTTCAAATAAGAAAAAATTACGTCCTAAGAAGGACGTAACGAATTAATGAGTGCAACCCGGATATAGTCTTTTTAGAGTTTTGTAATGTTTGCCGTGAATATTTTTGGTCTCCGGCAGTGAAAATCGTCTGCCTTCTTGCAATGTCAACAGTTCGTGTGCTTAGTTGTATCCTGCGCTTATTCGTCTATTTATTCAGCGATTTTTCATTACAAAATAAATATTTCAAGATTGTCAAGGTTGTCGCCTTTGAATTACAGGATATTGACTTCTACCAAAGGACTTGTGAGTTGCTGATGGAGAAAGGGTCGACTGGCACCTTTCCGTCTTTCCAGACGAGAGTGTTATATTGCTCTACGAGGAGGCATGGGACTCACAAACAATGACGAATACGAGTGTGACTAGTAAGACCCGCCAGCGTTAAGTCTTCCATATTTACATCATTAGAACAGGGCACAGTTGACTTCGCAGCCACATGTACAAACAATTTTAAATCGGCGAATCAGCCATGTGCACATGTGGACTGGCACCTGAGACAACAGATCATGTTCTCTAAGACTGTCCCAAATACAACATGTCAAGGCAACACTTCTGGCCAAGAGAAACACCGGTGCAGGTCAAACTTTACGGGTCGCTGAGTGAATTATAAAAGACAGTGAAGTTTATACTAGAGACAACATTGCAGATACCGATAATTTTTTTCAAGCGAGAAGACATTGTGGGATTTTAGGACCGTTGATATCAACATTTGTGTTTAGTCTGTTTCATATGATGTACCCCCTCCACACAACAAAGTCCACGGCATCTATCATGGGAATCAAAGGCGTCCGGCGTAATGCTGACCACATTACCCACCTAGTGCCGATTGGTCTGTAAAAATATGGGCGCTCTTCCCATGTGCCCTATGCGCCTAAGGCGTGAAAAGGGAGCGTTACTTTATTTTTTTTTTTACTGGCAAATGTTTTACCTAAAATGAAGTTTGAATTATAAATAGGAGTACGTAACTTGGTTTTTAAAAGCATATAATTTAGAGGTACATATTTAGTTTTTAGGCCGTGAATACTGCTGCTGTCTTATCAGTACGTACCATCTTTTCCTTCTTTGTCTTTTCTTTGCAATAAACTGCTTAGTTTTATAGCCTTGTGTCTGAGAGATGACTTCCACAAGTAACTACTCAAGTAAGGAAAAGTAAAAAAACCATCGGTGCAGCTGGCGTATGACTCATTTGTATAGACTAGTCGGTAACCGCTGGGTGATGTGATCAGCATGACACCGACCGCCTTTACTTCACATGACCATGGCAATAGCTGGTACACGTTTCAGGCTGGGTCGAACTGGGAGCTACGGTCAGTTCTGAAGACAAAACCAATCTTCCTAGATGCGGATTCGAACTCGACGCAAATGCCTTGTACCGTTTACAACGTGGCTGCTATATTTGTGCATTTCGGCCGACACATCCGATTTCCATAGGCATTTGTTGACCATGTTAGCTTTTCCAAGGCGTCTGGTTTTATTCCAGAACTTGAAGTTTGCGTGCACATCTGTTTTACAAACCTGGCATGCAGACAATGTTTCCTCGACTCTCAGACAGGTTTACTCCGACTTGGAAAAAAACAGCCCTTTTTATTCAAAAAAATTCTTCAGGTAACAGAAATGTTTTCCCACCTACATGATAACTGGAATACTATTTCTTGTTGCCTGGGTTACCATGTTAATGCAGTCTCGACTATCACCAACAGGAGCTTGTACTTGGTCAGTCCTTACAACAACATGCGAAACACCTACGTCATGACCGACAATAGAGACTGTTGTTATCTGGCGGAGTTTCGAGGAAAGTGCTGCGTTCAAAGTGAGCCACCTTTTGAAAGATATTAAACTGGTTGTATTTGTGTCCGTTTGTTTTTCTATACTTCTTAAAGTTTTCTAGCCCTGACTTTCATTCTGCCATTTGTAATTGTATTCTTACAAAGCTGATCATTGTATTTTTTTTTTTAACTTCCAGTTGTTGTTATTTGACACAAAGTAAGCAGTACAGAAAAAAACTGGAGATCCAAAGAGAGACTGGTTATGAGAGATAGGAGAGAGAATCCACGGAAATCCTAATTACACACAGGAGAGAGAATCCACGGAAATCGTAATTATAGTAACCACACAGACAGACTCTCTCCCGCTTATACTTCAACTGGATACAGCGAGAGAAACAAGACGAGATTGGATCGGAAGAGGATATTAGATGAGGCGTGAAGAAATGAAATGTGATGAGATGTGATAAGATGTAATGAGACGTGATGTGAAAAGATGAGATTTGATATGATGAGATGAGACGAGATGTGATGAGATGTGATAAGATGAAATGTGATAAGATGAGATTTGATAAGATGAGACTGATAAGATGTGAAGAGATTAGATGTGATAATATGAGATGAGATGTGATGTGATAAGATGTGATTAGATGCGATGGGATAAGATGAGATGTGACGTGGTGAGTGTGACGTGGTGATATGATATGTGACGTGATGTGAAGAGATTATATGTGACGTGATGTAAAGAGATGAGATGTGATGTGGCAAAGGTGAGATGAGATGACATATGTCATGATGTGATGGGATTGAATGAAGATGAGATTATATGTGATGTGTTGTTATGCAATATGATAAAAATGAGATGGGGATTCTATGAGATTAGATGTGATGTGGTGTGATGTAATGTGATAAAAATTAGATAAAGATAACATGAGATGAGATGAAAATGTGGTGAAAATTGACGAGATGAAATGATGAGAGTAGATAAGATCATATGAGATGTGAAATGTGATGAGATTAGATGAACGTGATGTTATCTGATGAAGTAGTAAAGACTTTGGGTAGGATACACGTTGAGAAAACGTGAACAATGTATCTAAAAGTCTTTGCACTGGAACCCTCAGGGATAAAGAAATAAAGTCAGACTTATTAAAAATACATGGAGAATGGAACTGGAGAGTGAAATTTGATTTTAAATGGTTGACGAGGCCTAATGCGCCATCGGGGGGATAAAGTGTAGAAGAACGAAAGGTACACACTTCTAACCAGAAACAATGTTTGCTAGGAAGACAGTGTTCGTCCTATAGATTGTTTAAATTTCATTTTTACTTTTCCATTAACTCATTGATACTTTCTGTTCCGCACATTTGTGTCATTTTCATAATGTACAACATGGTAACGCCTTTAAGTATTCGGTTGCCTTGCCAATAACTGGATTATGTGACGTGTTTCTATGTAAATTGTATGGTGTTCACCTGACTAGACACGGCGAAATATACGAGGGAATCAACTGTGCAATAGACAATCAACGTGCGTGTCAGTTGCAGGTTCTTCATGGTTCGCCGTAGCTTACTCTGCACACTTTGCTCTTGGGGCGTGGTTTCTTTTCGTCGTTGTAGGTATAGTGGGCAGGCCTGCAGAATGTGCTCAGCGTCTGTGGACCGTCTGACATGCAGACTGCGGGGACTATATTCATGTGTCATCATTATTTACAATCACACCAGATACAAACTTTAATGATCAATTTACTTGTGTCATTTAGAAATGTACTGGTGTCTGTGTTTGGTGTTATTTATAAATTTACAAACCATATTTTTTTCTAATAGAATTTATCTATTTGACGTATGTCTATTTTAGTATATTTTAGAAAATGTACAAGTGTCTGTTTTGTGTGTGTGTGTGTGTGTGTGTGTGTGTGTGTGTATGTGTGTAAGTGTGTGTATGCATTATCTAGATAATGTACAAGTGGCTGGTTTAAGACAAAAACAGATTTTATATTATGCCCTAATGTCTGTTTTGCTTCTCAGCTGATAGTCAAGGCTTATACCAAAGCTGTAAATGTGATCCAAGCATCACCTGCAGCACAACAACCACGCCTACTACCACACCTGTGTCGACAACAATCGCGCCTACTACCACACCTGTGCCGACTACAACTGCAATTACACCATGTAAGCATCTGTGTGTATGTGTGTGTACTGAAAAAATAGCTTGTGTCACGAACTTTATTCTATCTTTGACTCAGTTGGTAAGAACAGAAAAATTGTTCCGAAAATTAATGCCCATCAACTAAATCATTTGCCCGCCACAGAAACAGTTTTTGAAACCCTGCTACAGATTTATGTGTGACAAAGATATATAATATAAAATATACAGTATACCTATCTTTTGTGGCTTGTAGTTGCTGGAACCTGCGGGCCATGAGCCTTGCGTTAGTTTCGACAGTGGTATCAAGAAAGCCGACCGTCCAGTAGAAATGGCAAACTACTGGACGTAACTTTGCCTAGAAAAACCACACAACAGCCAGTGGCAACGTCCTGTAAAGGATACGTAACAACCAAAGTTGCTGGAACAGGTAAACGGTAGAAGAGGAGGGGCGAGATTTCTTTCAAGGAGAGTCCAATTCTATAACAATGTCAAGCAACTGTGTAAGTGTTTTTTGGTGCTTTTGTGTTGTCTTATCTTTTCTGTATCCTGGGAAGTTGTTGGCTCGGTGGCTGGGGATTTTACACTATAACGATCCATTTATATCTATCTTTTTTTTTTTTCTTTCTTTGTCAAATATTTTAAAGAAAATAGAACATGTTGTATTTACAAAAAGCTACTGCTCTGCAGGCTAGTTTTGTTAAGGTAAAGCTTCCCGAAGAAAACCTGCATTTCACTCCACCTGATACAAATTTCTTTGATCTCAGGACATGACACACCTCCGCGTCTCATTATGGTGTTTAGTTATTATGAGCTTCTTTACACCGAAGTCACTAAAATAAGTCACTGTCTTGGGAGCCATAATGAGGTATGATTTAGTGGAAACAACAACAACAACAGTGTATCAGGAACAACGCCACGTCAATGGGCGCCATTACGAGGTTTTAGTTAACGAAACAACAAGTGTATCACAAACAACGCAACGACAATGGGTGCTAAAAGGAGGCTTTAGTTAACGAAACAACAACAGTGTATCACAAACAACGCAACGACAATGGTGGCCATAATGAGGTTTAGTTAACGAAACAACAACAGTGTATCAGAAACTACGACACGACAATGATGGCCATAATGAGGTTTAGTTAACGAAACAACAACAGTGTATCACAAACAACGCAACGACAATGGTGGCCATAATGAGGTTTAGTTAACGAAACAACAACAGTGTATCAGAAACTACGACACTACAATGATGGCCATAATGAGGTTTAGTTAACGAAACAACAACAGTGTATCACAAACAACGCAACGACAATGGTGGCCATAATGAGGTTTAGTTAACGAAACAACAACAGTATATCAGAAACAACGCCACGACAATGTTTACAGCGCGCAAACCTGAATACAACTGAAGCTGTTGTGCAGACGAAAACATGAGCCAAAGCAATCAATGCGGGTTCGTGTGTGCATGAGACATGCATGCTTTAAGGATGCAACACATCTCCAGTCTACAAGGTGAGGGTTATGAAAGGTAAAATGTAAGAGGGACGTGCCTGCTCAGTTTGTGACCCTTTCAAAATAACATCGGTTGGTTCATTCTACTGTCAGATATGACAATGACTTCATGTCCACTAATTAAGCCCATCTGCCGGTGCCTGTCCGTTTTCCCATGCAAGTGGCCATGTAACATTGTCAAATATATCAGTGCTACACTGTAAAGTTTCTTTACACGCCATTGGCGAGCTAGACTAAATGTATACACCAGTCAGCATGATGGATGGTGTGGTCTGCATCACGCCGTCCGCCTTTACTTTCCATGACTACTTGGTGCCCATTGAAAACTGATTTAACCAGGAAGCTATGATCATGCCTGCAAGAATATGGCTCCATACGGATTCGAACCAACAACCTTCGGATCTGCAGACGAGAGTCTAGCCGCTATACCACGGCTATACAAAGGGCTGTCATGTGCACCCTGAAGACTTATAGGGAATATGCATTTACATCAGGTTGCTCATCTAGTAAGTTATCTGTTATATTCCATTGGTTCCAGTATGTGGGTCACCGACATTCAGAATCCTGTACGGTGAGAAAGCATCCACCGACTGCCCTAACTCTGGAGTGTTCAACATCACATTCCTGAATGGGTCTCGGTCCTGCTGTAACGCCGTCTACACCCTTGCCACAGTGTACGGGATCTTCAAACCCACGATCCTCACCGCAGAAGTCTGCAAGATTTTCGTAGAACTGTTTATCACTTCTGACATCCCGTATGGTTATTTTTCATTCTAGAGAACTTTGTAAATTTTTTTTTTTTTAAAGTGTGTTGTGCGACGAGAGGATGAACTTCATTGTGCTGTATTTCACCCCATAGGGTTGCTCTACTTCTCCGAATGGCTGTCCACCGATCCAAAGCATTGCACAATACCCTAACTGCGTAGTCTCACTGAAGTGAGATTGCTCGCGTTGATTTAGCTACATTACATAATACGGGTATCTCTAATATCACAGACGATGACAGCAATAGGGACAATGCAAAGCAAGCTCACAGTAGACTGTCAGAACACACAGCAAGCTCACAGTAAACTGTCAGAACACACAGCAAGTCCACAGTAGACTGCCAGAACACACAGTAGACTGCCAGAACACACGCCAAGTCCACAGTAGACTGCCAGAACACACAGAAAGTCCACAGTAGACTGCCAGAACACACAAGTCCACAGTAGACTGTCAGAACACACAACAAATCTACAGTAGACTGTCAGAACACACAAGATGTTGTTGTTGTTGTTGTTGTTGTTGTCAGTCCAGCGGCGCATGAGCTTTCGCCCTTTGGCCCAATGCCATGTAGTGGAATTTGCATGTTTTCACAAGCTGTTCTTTTCCTCCGTACAAGGTGTTTCACTTGTCTGGTCTCAGAGGGAGTAGCATTCTTTTGGTCTCAATTAATTTTGGGCACTCAAAGAGATGGTGTTCAACCATGTTAGGGACCAGATAAACTTTTCTGTTAGCATTCATGGGTAGATTTAACTGGCTTGTAAACTCACATTCAGTCTACCCTCCCCCCCCCCCTTTTCAATTGATAACACAGATGGGGTGCAGTTCTTCCACTTCTTTGTCTCATGCGTGTAATCCGCACGCTCATTTCTATAGATCAACACCCTCACTAGTTGTGACCAGATATCTCTATAAACAAAATGCACTCTGAAATCAAACAAAAACTCACGACTTTCAAATAACAAGGCGAAGTTCTGACCTCATTGTCACAGAGAATATGTGTATAAAGTTTACTTGAGACATCACAGGATTTAATGAAATAACATACAGAAACTGTGCACCACACTGGCGCATCGGACATACAGTTAAAGACCTACATATTACTGAAGGCAAATGCTTTTGCTTACTTCACACTGTATGTAGTTTTCTAAATGTTTGTTTACTATGATCGTTTCTATTGTTCCATTATGTTTAATCTTTTTCTGTCGCAAATGAGCCTAAATACTTCTCTGATAGCACTTTTTTTTTGGGGGGGGGGGGGGGTAAGAAACTTACAGAAGCATTTCACAGTCACTTGTTTTAGAAACTAACTGAAGCCTTTCACATTCACTTGTTGTAGAAAGTGATTGATGCATTTCAGTCACTTGTTTTTGAAACTTTCTGAAGCCTTTCATAGTCACTTGTTGTAGAAAGTGACTGAAGCATTTCACAGTCACTTGTTGTAGAACCTGACTTAAGCCTTTCATAGTCACTTGTTGTAGAAAGTGACTGAAGCACAAAATAGTAACTTGTTATTGAAGATATGACTTGTTTGAATTACAGGTTAGAAATCCACATTGGGAGCCAGAAGTACGACCTCCTGCAGCCCAATTTTACAGTCGTCAGCGGTTGAGTAGCCTTTTGATATCAATGTTTACTTTTACATTGTGGCTGTCTGTTCGCTTGTTCTGTAAATGTATTCTGTAAATGTCCTGTTGGGCCTTACATGTCACATAGGGTTCTCAATCTACTTTTCCTATTTGTAAATAATTGTTTTTTAAATTAGTCTGTAAAGAAATATCTTAAAACGATTATTCAAAACAATGTTTCTTGGTACGAATTTAAACTTTACAATTAAGTCAATTTAGGAGAAAGTTTAGATATTTAAGTATCTGGACAAAAGGATAGCATCAGTTGGAGAAAAAAAACCAGACATTTTTTTTTTTTAAGTGCAGAAAACGCACAAAAACAAATACGACACAAATTCTACATCAGTTTACATTTCCGGCCTAAATGTTCGAAAGCTTGCTGACCGCTGAAAGTTTTGGTTCCTGCTAGGTTTTGCTGACGCAAATTCCCCATTTATGGACAGTGAGTCCACAGGTTCTGTCGCCCAGCTACTGAGCTGGATGAGATACTGCCAGCTGTGGATTTCATGGGCAATGATTTGTTATCTGTTGTTCCCGCGGCGTGATGTTAACTGCACAATAACAGATGGTTGATTGTGTTCTTAATTCCTTGTACGTGTACTTTTGCTGTGCGATGCCGCCTTTCGGGATATAAAGTTTGGCTCAGCAGCGAGTTGCAGTACTTGTGTGGGACAGTTAGTTCTGGCACATCTAACAGCCGCCTGTATGCATTTTTACTTTGCATGTACAAGCGTCACGATTTTGCTGTTACGGACAAGTTTTTCACTAGTTTTCAGCTGCAGCAGAGAAGGACATTTTGCGGGATTCCCAGCACCACAGGAACTGAGCTGTCATGCGAGAACCTTGTGTACTGACGCTGGAACCTCGCCTAAAGGCACACACTGCCGAAAAACATTTAAGCCATAATGGTTTGGTTCCTGGTGGTAGAGACAGAAATAACCAACACGATGGTGGACAAGGATATGAAGGACACACTGGGCATGGAAGTTTAAAGGGTTGGAAAAGTTGGCCAGAGACCAAGTGGATTTCCTGCATGCCTGGATATCATCCACAGTCATAAAAAGACCTGTTATATGGTGATGACCTGAGATTAAAACACACACACACGATTTACAGAAACAATTTTAAGACAGGTAGTCAAAGATCATCGATTGGAAAGCTTGTGCGCCCAGAGATAAATAAATAAAGATTTTCTGAGTATGCAGAGATTTCTCTTATAAAAAAATGCTCACAACAAGATTGAACAAAAGGAAAGTAAACGAGATGTTTTGATAGAGACTAAGATAGAATAATACCTGCCTACAAACTAAGAAACGAAGCAGTCCTTGAACCTAGTCATATTTGGATAACAGAATGAGTTCAAGTAGCTAGAAACTTTTGAGGAATGAGGTATTCTTCTTACAGTTCATGCCGTGTGGCATTCGTAGTTATGTTTCCCCACAGCCTTCTGTCTCGTGTACTTTTAATCAATTCTGACACATATTCCAAACTGTCCAGCATTTTCTCTCTCGGTATAATGATATATTATTAAACTTTTGAGGAATGAGGTATTCTTCTAACAGTTCATGCCGTGTGGCGTTCGTAGTTATGTTTCCCCACAGCCTTCTGTCTCGTGTACTTTTAATCAATTCTGACACAGATTCCAAACTGTCCAGCATTTTCTCTCTCGGTATAATGATATATTATTAATATTGATAGTATTTTCATCATTAGCATCGTCATTATCTTCGTCTTCTGCAACGCCTCTAAAAAGACGGTTGATATATAATGTATTTACAACTAGGCTGCGATATCTGCTTCTTTCTTCTTTTTCTTTCTTTGTTAAATACGGGACAGTCCTGGCTGTTAGTCCGCTTCTCGACTTTGACCTTAATCCAGAACTTAAATGTTGTGTGCCACAGATCTGGCTTATCTGTATGCAGACTGTTGGTTCCTTGCCTCTCAGACAAATACACTCCGACTTCAATGGAAACACATAGGCTATATATGCTGGCCAGGTTTCCAGTCGGGAACCTGCCTCGGAGATGGTCGCGGAGAGGTGTCTATAGAGTTTCATCAATACGAGCTTCAGGTGCATGTTTACCATCAGGCTCGCTTCAGCACCTCTGTATCCTCTCTTAGTCTCTTAGTCTCTTAGTATCTTAGTCTCTTAGTCTCTTAGTCTCTTAGTCTCTTAGTCTCTTAGTCTCTTAGTCTCTTAGTTTCTTAGTCTCTTAGTCTCTTAGTCTCTTAGTCTCTTAGTCTCTTAGTCTCGGTCGACATTTCAACTTCACTGCAGTCGGGTTACCGGATACTTGCTCCGTTCAAGTGTCAGAGCAAATCAAATGAAATAACCCTCACTGTGCCGTTTGAAAAACAATTGTTGAACAATTAATCCCGGAACTATCCAGAAATATGCGCATGCAGTAAATGGACATGGCAGTTATTAGAGACGCCAAAGCCAACAATCGCCACCAGAAATTCATTTTGTCGTTGATGGAAGTTATCGGGCACGATAAGTTGGTTACTTTACACATGTAGAATTATTACATAAGGTATTTCACCAGCCCACACGTAAATCCGCTATCGACGATAGTTTTTACCCCGAATCAACCATGCACAAATTAAAGACATTCCACATGAAAAACACAACTCGCAGGGTTGCACAAAGCACTAAACTCGTGCAGCGACACCGTAGACTACCGTCCATGTGTGGAAGATGCATTAGCAAAGCGCTGTCAGAAGTAAAAATAACTTCGAAGCTTAGCATTCTGCCACGCCTAGTCCTCCATTTTAGACCGGAAGTCTACTCTTTACCCATCGACCTAACACATCTGAATTCTGCAAACCATAAATAAGTCTCCTATAAGGTTAATGGGTACTGAATCTATTATTCTCCCTCCCTCCCCCCTGCCCCCTCCCACCCCCCCCCACCCACCCAAAACCTGGGCAGCCATGACCCACACGGACATTACTGTTAGTATTGTTTCTGTACATATTAGGTAATGAGCGATAATAAATGCTGCGAATATATATTCCATAATGTTGTCAGCCAACTGTAACATGATGCTGTTAATATGTTTCATGGATTTAAAGTTGACGAGACATTTCAAACAATTTCGTAGGTAGCAGAATAGGCAACTGTTATGGCACAGTGGCTAGTCCTCTTGAAAGCTGGTCTTGTGTTCATGTGTTCAAACAGCCATCGAGTTGGGAAGACTGTTAATTTACATGGGCTTCCAGGTCAACGCATACTCAAGTGAAAGTAAAGGCGGCCTGAGTGATGTTGTCATGCTGATCATATTGCCCAGCCTATGGAATGACAACTGATCAATTCAGGTGTTGCGAACCCGCTTCATAATTCCGAGGTACCCTTTTCGATTCCAGCAGCCATTTAGAAACGAACCGCCGTGCGTTGATTTCGACATGAACATCGAGAGCCGACCGTTCACTAGATTAGCAGACTACTGAAAGTAAAATGACCTAGTAAAGCCCCCAACAGCCAACAAATGTTAGTAACAGTTCTGCAAACGTCCTGTAATGGATAACCTAACATATCCATGGTAATCCCATCTCTTCATTGTCGTTACCATGACTGCTCTTATTCTTAAGTACATGTCGTAGTCATGTCTATCTACAACCTTCTGTAGAGTGTAGTTTCAATAAACTCTGACACAGATGATCCTCCATGCCACGATGTCAGACTATCCACCATCATTTCTCTCGGTCTCCCTCTGCCTCTCTCCCCTTCCAATTTTTCTACTGCCCCGATGTACTCTAGTTCGTTTTAATTCTTTTCTTCTTATGACAAGCCACAGAATGTAGATTGTCTCCTGCTAATGTGGGCAAACAGTTCTCTTCGCGAGTAAGTTTTTTTTTCAAGACGTCTTCATTA